ATTTCAAGTACATAAAATGCCTACAATAGTCAACAGTATCAATGACACTCAGGATTTTGCAACTCAAAGAAACTTTTAGATCATCTAGATCCTAATTCAGTGTTCATTTTTACAAGTAAATAAACAGAGCCTAGAGAGGTAAGTAAAATTGCTCAAATTAAATCTACTTCATGAGGGAGAGGCTAAGTCAATGTCATTTTTTAACATGTAAAGTTTAAACGTAATGAATAAAAATCTGGGTATGAAAAAAATGTGGCTATGAGTATCTTAGAACACTGAGCACTGAAATATTTTTGTTTAATTATAGTTAGTATTCTTTCAGGCTCCTTTACACATATTCATAAATGAACTTATACCAAATATGGTGCTTTCGATACCTTATGTTTTACTGGTGGCCTGGTCTACAGACAACCAAATCTGAAAGACATTAGACTGTAACAAAATATGGTGGGATGTAGAATTAACAGGAACTTCTTTTATGTACTGGGCACATTTATTTAAATCTTTCTTTTCTTACTCATAATCTCATAAATTTCTATGTCATTTTATATTTACTGTTACATTTTCATTTTAAATTCTAAATTATGATCTCTGATGGATCCTTTACCTTCTATTTATAGCTGTTTACTAAGACAAAAAATTGTAAGGTAGTTCATCTGTCCCACTTTTTCCTTGAATCAGTAAGTACTGGAGCATTTTCTAATTATATCCAATGAATGTGGAACTAATTACATACAACTATACTGACTGTAGCTTATTTGCTATTGAAATCCTGGTTGCATATTTATGTTTGTTGATTCTGCTTCTATTCTTAATTACTCTAATTTTATAACTTATTACATTTTTGCCTTACTAAAAATGTTCAAATACATTCAAATAATCAAATGAATGAGAATAAGTGGGAACAGGTTTAGCATCTGAGAAAAGGCAACTGGCTTTAAGATAATCCAGTGTATCAAATATTTACTTGAAAGAAGTAGAAGACAAAACAATACCATGAAGTTATATATTACTGCCAAGGCAAAGGTTTGGGAAAGAAAATAATATAGACCAAACACTTTACCATCTTTGTTTTACATAAAGGGAGTCTATGATATACTGAGTTAAACATCTGTTTAACTTTCTATGAATCATTTAGATGCAGAATTATGTATTTTTCATTTTTGTTGCTACTCCTACTGCATGGTATATAAAATCTATTTTTCAACAGTGCTTTGTACATTTTTAAAAGATTCTTTTTAAGCACTTAAAACATAAAAGAATAAAGAAAAAGAAACCATGTACTGGCCCTAAAGAAAAATCTTAATTTCTAAAAGAAATAAGAGCTTACCTTTGAAGGCTACATTGCACAAGACATCTAGAAACAAAAGATAGCAATAAAAATAGCAGGACTTCTTACAAGCTTTAACAATGTACCCTTCAAAATTAATCTTCCATGATATAATAATTCTCAGGTGAAATTTCAGAGTATCTAGACATTTAGAAACAATAAGATTACTACAGTATCATTTAGAAACATTTTAAAGTCAAATCCTTCTATTACTAAAATAAGAAAGATTGAAATTAAATGAGAACTAAGAATTCAGCTTAAGCTAATATGGCAAGGGGACAAACAAAATATAGGATTTAATAAAAGGTAGGAATTAACAAAACACAAACAAGAAAAATGTTTTTTTTTTTTTTAAGTTTAAATAAACGAAAATAGATGGTAAATAAAACCAGTGGTGATTTGAGAGGGTCAATAAAATAGAATTTTGACATGCCTGGTCAGATAGAAGGTTAATATGAAATCAATTAATCTGTAATATTTCAGTAAGAACTAGTTAGGAAATGTTATGTTTTAAAAAAAATCCCACTAACAAAAGCAAGAAATGCTATAAAATTGCTGGAATTAAGATATAGAAAGACACTGGCAAAAATGTAGTCCTACTTAAGGATGTAATAGACTAGACTGAATGAAGAGACTCTGTGTGTTTATTGGTTAGGAAAATTAAGTATTTTACAGAATTTAACTGTCCCTTAACTGAGCTCTCAATTTAGGGAAGTTCCAATCAAAATCCCAAAGAGCTTTTTCTAGCTTGATAAATATCCATTTTAAAGTATATCTAGAAGATATGCAAAGATGAATCAATAGTTTTGAAAATGCATAAAGAATATTTTAACCATATATCAGACAGTACCAATAAAACTATGCAGTCATGTATTGCTTAATGACAGATATGRACCGAAAAATATGTTAAGGCAATTTCATACTTGTGCAGACATCAGAGTGGATTTAGAGAATGGTTTAGCATACTATATACAGTCAAGCTATATGGTATAGTCATGATCAGATATGTGATCTGTTGTTGACTGAAACATTCTTATGCAATGCATGACTATATATTTGTTTTTTATGGCTATCTGACAAATCACCACGCACCTATTTAGCAGTTCAGAGTTCTGTCCATCAGATGTCCAACAAGGGAGGTACTCAGGACATTAAGACTGACATCAATGTGTTAGCTAGGAGAATTCTTACCTGAGAGTTCTGAAAAATATCTGTTTCCTGGCACATTCTTATCATTAGCAGAATTCAATTCCTTAGAGACATAGTGCCCTGTTTTCCTGCTTGCTGTTGGCCAGGGGTAGCTCTCAGCTCCTCAGGCCTTTGCCATATGGCCCTCTCCATGTTCAGTAAAAGAGAGGATTCTCCCTTCCATTAAATTCTTCTGTGTTTCTAATCTCACAAACTTTGATTTTAAGGACTCATATGATTAGGCTAGGCCTAACCAGATCACCTCTCTTTGTTAAAGCCATTGTGACATGTAATGCAACCAAATCATGGAGGGAAAAATTTATCTTTAATCATGAAGATTAGGATAGTAAATCTCAGGGGCCATCCCTCTTTTCTCAAAGATACAAATTCTTTTATAATGTGGGAATTTGCTTATTTTGCTAAGCCACAATATATTTTTCCATGAACAACATAAACTTTTTCTTGGAGTGTGTGGAAGGATATTAAAACTTTTGTTAACAATTTTCTATACTGTCAAACAATTCCAACTATATATTGAAATTTGAGTATGTTACTACGTTAAATCCCRACAACATAGCTTGTTCAACTTTGCTGAATTCATTTATTAGTTCTAGAAGTTTTCTAGTGGAATTTTTGGATCTTCTAGGTATAGAATCGTGTCATCAGTAATATTTCTTTCTCTAATGTTCTGTAGTTTTCATTCTAGAGGTCTTTCACCTCTTTTGTTACATTGATTCCCATTATTTAATTAATTTATTTACTTACTTGAGGCTATTGTGATCGTGAATGGAGTAGTTTTCCTAATTTCTCCTCAGTGGATTCATCACTGATGTATAGGAATGCATTTGATTTATGGGTGTTGATTTTATATCCTGCTACTTTGCTGAAATCATTTATTAGTTCCAGAAGCTTTCTAATGGAATTTTTGGATCTTCTAGGTATAGAATCATGTCATTCAACCAATATTTCCTTTTAAATAGTATTGTCCAAAACCAATGTGAGCCTCATGAGCAATCTTTGTAGAAAAATAAAATGCAAACAGGCTGAAATTAACATTTTATTTAACCCATTAAACCAAAAATATTTTAATTTTACTAATATAAAAATAGATATAGTTTACATCCCAATTTTGATGATATATATTTGATATTGACAATATATTTCAATTTGGATTAGTCACATTTCAAGGGCTAATGCATCTCAACTGTAATGAAAGACATTGTCTTGCACGTTTCCATTGTCTGGCACATCTACTTGTAGACAACATATTGTGAGTTGTCTGTTACTTGCCAAACTCTATCTTATTCTTATAGATTAGACAGTTCACTAGCAGAATTTACTCATTATCAGTTTTTAAATTGATAATTGTGAGCCTAGCACTATGTTTGGTACTAGAAGAATGGCAACAAAATGGCTGACATGGAGGAGTCAACTGAACCATTTGACTGTTTGCAGATACTAACACAAGTAATAGGAGTGGTCAGGTTTATTTGACACAATTAGTAATGTTCTGTATTTCCTTACTAATACTGTTTGTGTGCATCTGTTTCCCCTATGACATTCCATGAGGGAAGGAACTACATTTATTTACCTGTTTTCCATTATAGCACTGGCAAAATAAATGCACAGACACATACTGATTATCAGCCTCAACCAGTTCTCATTTCATTACTGTTTTCCAGTAAGTCACAAAACATCAACATCTTCTTAATCTCCTCTTTAAAACAATTCTTATGGCCAACTCCAACAAATAAAAAGTAATCAAGAAATTTGCCACTGGTCAGTATTGTATTTATCCTATCTTCATCTACTTTCTTCCTCCAACACAAGTGAGGCACAAATAAGTACAAGGTAAGAGCACTTTCCATCAATTTTCAGAATTTAAAACACATACACCTCAAAGGAGAGTGTAGTAAATACTGTTATGTACCAATCGACAGTGGCATGGTACTCAAGGGTTCTAGAGATTTCAGAAGCTCCTTTGGGAAATAATTTTTTTAAGTTAAACAACAGAAACACTAATAGCTATGATTAAAGAAAACAAAATAAGCAAAATAGCATAAAATGACTAAAGGTGACACCTATTATCAGAGCAGGGGGAAATCCCAAACTTGTTCCTTAATGATAGCAATAACACTGTACTATAGAGTACTTCTGCTAATCTTCAGCATGCAAAGAAAATTTTATGCGGAAAGTTAACATCTGGAAGAATGTAAAAGTTGAGAATGAGAGTAGCTCTTACCATTTTATTCTGTCTACAATAAAATGGCAATTTAATAACATGGGTCCTATGCAAATTAGCCAGTTAGCACAAAAACGCTCCAATTCCTAATCAAGTGTTCCCTGTTTTATAAATTACTGGTATCCATATGCCTTTTTATTTTATAGTACTGGGGATTAAACCCAGGAGCACTATCTAGCACTGAGCTACATCCCCAGCTCTTTTTGAGACAAAGTCTCACTAAGTTGCCCARACTGACCTCTCAGCTTCCTGGGTAGTTGGGATTACAAATGTGTACCACCACACCCAGTACAATATAAACATTTTTCAAAACATGTACTCATCTACTGTGTATAAATCCTTAATCAACTTATCCTATTTAAAATGCACTAATTACTTTTTTGTTTCTTCTTAGGTGAGCATTCCAGAACTGCTGTAAGTTCAGCCTCTTCACTATGTTTTCTTTTCTTTTTTTTCTTTTTATGATCACTTTGGTAACCACTGGAGTCACTGCACTGAAAAATAGGATCCTGATCTTCCTGGTGCTGCTGCTTCTTCTTCTTCTTCTTTTTCTTTGGCTCTTCCTCACAGAGGCCATTCATGTCATTACTAACCTGTAGCTCTTCCTCTTCCTTTGGAGTGATACCTGTAAAATCTGATGGCTCTGTGGCACCATCATTTACTTCATAAATTTCTGGATCTTTCTTTTTCTTTTTCTTTGGAATTTTTTCAACAGATTCTTCAGTTAGAGTTTCTGTTACTTCTTCAGAAACATCAGGGTGCTTGGACTGCAAACTATAAATAAACATTAAAACAATAAATAGCACTAAGCAAAAATAAAGGAAAATGATATCAAGGATAGCTCAGTATATAAAAATTTCCTAAATGAAAGCAGCATAAGATACATAACTATGGTGTAAATTTCATATATTCTCTTTTTTTATCCTGTAGCCTATTAAAACTTAAATTCAGTGCTGATAGCAATAATACTGTACTATAACTTTATAAATTTCATTATTGTTTAATTCTTTGTTTCTATACTACTTCAGAAGTCAAAAATTGACTTCCAAATTTTGGTTTGGTTCAGTTCAGAAAAATTAGGCCACTGAACATAAACCCAGAATTGTCAAATCAAGGACAATAAAAGAAAAAATACTTTCAATATATATCAAAGCAATAGAGTTTCCCACTTTAACTGTGTTTCAAATATGAACTTACCAGGCAATATTTATTTTTCCTCGAATGCAAAATACTCCAGCAGCATCTGAGTCTAAACGAAATACTTCAAATTCTAATTCATCACCCACGTTTATCTCCAGGGTTTGCCACTGCTCAACTGACATCTGTTCAGGTTTAGGGATTGAGGCATTAAAACACCCATGTACCAAACAGCCAATGTGGCTAGAAGACACTTTATTAACTGTACCCTGGGAAGAAGGAAGAAAGGACATAACATCAAGAAGACATCCAAAGAGTTAAAAAGTGAATCAAAATTTCTAGGCTTTAAACTCACTTCAAAGAAAAAATATCAAATTAATGGTATAATTTAATATGGGAAGTTTACCTCAATTACAACTTACCATATGCCATACCCAAACAATATTAGAGKTTTTAGAAAGCAAAAATTACATGTTAATTGTTTAAAAGAATAAACAAATAATCAACTAACCCACCCAGCCTCCACTGCAGGATTCTCTACAGAGTAGATTTCTCTATAACCACATGGAAACCAAGCAGAAAACACTCCGATATGATGATGTATTTATGAAAAGACCTCAAGGCAGGAATCATATTTTTTATGACTAGGATCGACATTATATTTCTGTGAACAGACTAAATTTCAAAGTGCACTCTTTAATGATTCAATTTAGCATGATACAAGCRGTTCTATTAGAAGAAAGTTTTCTCTCTATATATAGATCTTGGGTATGGTTTTATTGGCTAAATCACAAAAATGTTTAACTTGTGTTATATGATTTTTGAGCTTAAAATGAAACTTCATAAAACAGTTTCTTTTTTAAAAAAATTGTTTTAGTTGCCAGTGGATTTTTTACTTTATTTCTTTATTTATATGTGGTGGTAAGGATCGAACCCAGGGCCTCACACATGCCAGGCAAGTGCTCTACCACTGAGCTACAACCCCAGGCCCTCATAAAACATTTTCTACTTTCCCCCAGGAATCAACATATACAAAGACTATGAATGAAAACCCTAAAAATATTTTTTTAAAAATTCACATTTTCTAAGCTGGGTGATATAGCRCATGTCTGTAATCCCAGCAGCTAGGGAGGTAGAGACAGGGTGATCACAAGTTCAAAGCCTCAGCAAAAKCGAGGTGCTAAGCAACTTAATGAGACCCTGTTTCTAAATAAAATACAAAATAGGGCTGGGGATATGGTCAAGTGCCCCTGAGTTCAATCCATGGTACAACCCCCCCAAAATTCACAATCTCTGAAATACAGAACTGTAAATAATATGGCTATGTATTCAACACCATTTAGCATCAAACTATGGTATATCCATAGAATGGAATATCGTCGCATGCCATCCATGGGCTGTGTGAGCTGCTCTGCACCAAAGCATACTGAATAGGAGAATCTGGTGTCTGGGAATGACCAGTGGACATTTCCTCTGGTTGACTGCCCTCACTCACTGTGATCCCTATTCAAGCTCTGCCACAGGTCCCACACAGCCCCTCTGAGATAGGTGTGACCTGCTGACTGCAAGACATCACAAAGCAAGACTCCACCCTTAAACCCTATCCCTGCCTTTGATGTACCCCCTTAAATAAACCACTGGAGCTATCTACTTTTTGTTGAGTTCCAGCTCCCCCCCATGTGGACTAAACCTATCAGGGGCTCCATTTATGAAAATAAATTTCTGACTCTTTGTCTTTTGTTCTTCACTAATTATTCTAGACTTTAATTTCTGAGGTGGTTTATACCTTCCTCGGCAAGAAGAACAACCCTCCCCCACCATTGAGATGCTGGCCATCACCCCTTAGAATATTATTCAGCAATGAAAAGCAATGAGCTATCAAGTGAAAAAATGGAGAGGAAACTTACATGCTTGTTGCTAAATGAAGAAGTCATTTTGAAAATTGTGATTCCAAATATATGACACTCTTGGAAAGGCAATGAGACTGTGGTTTCTGGGGAATAGTAGATGGGAGGATGGGAGAGGTAAACAAGTGAAGCCCAGGATTTCTAGGGCAGTGAAACTACCCTGTATGATACCAAATATATACCAAAATACATTTGGCAAAACTTATGGTTTGTACAACATAAAAAGTGAACTCTACAGACTTTATTGGAGAGCAGAGTAAGATCCTCTGGCAATTTCTCTCCATAGACGAACCAAGCTGAAAAGCTGTTTCTGAATCAAACTAAGTTCACAAGAGCTAGGGAAATCAGGCAAGCATAGTGCCTGCTTTTAGTATAACAAAAAATATATTGAAGAAGGTAGGAAGTTAAGAGTTGTATGAGAGAAGCCTCCCAGTGGGGGAGGGGGAGAATTAAGTTCACGTCTTAGTTGAAACCCAGTGCTGGMAAAGCCCCATGACCCCTATAGCCAGGCCAACACCTGTGGACTGAGCTACTGAAAGTACCTTAGGCTGGTGGCAAAGAGACTGCCTCACCCCTAACATCCAAACTTAGATAGCACAGTGGGAAGCTGGGCAGAAAAGCTGGCACAAGGCTTTCTCTCAGAGTCCAGTGCCAGACCCAGTTCCGTAAGAGGTCCAGTGCCAGGGGAAGACATGTGGTCCCCATTTATCAAACTTCTAGCAAGCATCACCACTGGTCCACTGAAGTAGCAACTGTATACTCTGTTCACAGGGCAAAGCTCATAAAGCCCCTAAGCCAGCCCCCACATCAGGCAGAGATCTGTGTGCCAGTGGACAGACCCAAATTTCAGCCACTTCAGCCTCATAGTGGACTTTGAGAATACCTACCCACCTCTAAAGACTGAAGAATCCCATGGCTGTGAGACTCTGGTGACAGAGCTTAGCACCAACCTTGCTATCTAGACTACCCATCTTTCATTGAAAACTTCCCAAACCTAGAAAAGGATAAACAACATCCAGGTATAGGAAAGTCAAAGGTTATTATTCAGATTTAACTCAGTAAGTCTAACTGAATAAGTCTACCCCCAAATATATTATAATCAACCCAACTATCATAGATAAGAAACAGAAAGATTCTCAAGGCTGCAAGAGAAAATGCCCATCACAGGCGTACGGCAATTTGACAGCACACTTCTGACCAGAAACCTTACAGGCTAGGAGACTGGCCCATGATTTTCACTAAACTGAAGGAGAACAAAAAGAACAAAAAACTGTCAACCAAGAATAGTATATACCCAGCAAAGGTACCCTTCAGAAGTGAAGGACTCACTTTTCCAAACAAAATTTGAGACAAAAATATCTCCACCAGAACTGTTCTAAAATAAATGTTCAAGTTCTTCAAATTGAAAGATATTGAAAAAACAGTTTTTTTATGAGAATAAATATACAATAATATACAATAAATAAATATAGAATAATGTATAAACCATTCTTTAGTACACAGATTAAAAAAATAACTAGTTTAAGTAACAGGCCATACAGAAAGATTGGATAGAATTCAACTGGACTGTGTTCTTATATCTTATTCTTTTGTTTCTCATCCTTACTATCACATTAAGTTGCTATCATTTCAAAATAGCTTGATATAAGCAAGATTTTTTTTTTAATCAGCCTCATGGTAACACAAAACAAAAATTTAACAGACTAAGCAAGGAATCCAAAAACACTACTAAACTAATTCACTTAACCACCAAGCAAGACTATGAGAAGAAACTATGACAAAAGTAGAAAATAAGGCATATAATAGCTTTTAGTAAGACATTACCTACCAAAAACTACCTTGAATGTAAATGAATTCCATTCCCCAATTAAAAGAGTGAGGAGGTTAAAAAATAAAATTGCCAATTGTATGCTATTTATAACACATTCACTTCAATTCTAAGGACACACAAAAAGTGAAAAGATGGAAGATACCCATACAAATGGAGACCCCCCAAAGTAGCCATACTAATATCCAATAAAATGACTTTAAATCAAAAACAATAAAGACAAGGAAAGTCACTGTATAATGATTAAGGGGTCAATTCAAACAGAAGAAATAATAATTCTAAATGTATTACATACACACCCAATATCAGAACACCCAAATATATGATGCAAGTATTAATATACCTAAAGGCAAAAGTATACTCCAAGAATTGTTGGGGACTTTTAATACCACACTTTCAGTAATGAACAGACAATCCTTACAGAAAAATAAACATCAATTACACTGTATCCTAGACTAAATGGATCTAACAGACATCTATAGAACACATCCATCTAACAGCTGCTGAATAAGTTTTTCTCATCAAACTTTCTCCAGGATAGATTACAATAGATCACAAAGCAAGACTCAATTTTTAACAAATTGAAACATCTGAATATCTTTTCTTACCAGAAAGCAATAAAGCTAGAAATTAACAATAAGCTTTAGAAAATATACAAATGCATGGATATAAAATAACAAATGGATCAAGTAAGAAATCCAGGAAATTTTAAAATTTCTTGAAATGAAAAGAAAATAGACAAACAGACCAAAACCTATGGAAATAAGCAGAACCAGTATCGAGAGAGATGTTATGGCAACCATCACCCACATCAAAAAGGCATAAAAATCTCAGACAGTCTATTGCATTAAAAAGGAAGGGGAAAAATAACTAAACCCAAAATTAGAAGAAGAAAAGAAATAATAGAATAGAAATAAATGTAAGAGACCAAAACAAAAAAAAAAACAAAAGATAAAGGAAACAGAGCTAGTTCTTTGAAAAGGCAACCAAAATACACAAACCCAGAACTAGAAAAGGTAAAGAAAATGCATATGAATAAAATCAGATGAGGGCTGGGGATGTGGCTCAAGCGTGCATGTGGCCCGGGTTCGATCCTCAGCACCACATACAAAGATGTTGTGTCTGCCGAAAACTAAAACATAAATATTAAAATTCTCTCTCTTAAAAAAAAAAAATCAGATGAAAAGGGACCCATTATAATTTATACCAAAGAAATACAAAAGATTAGGAATTATTATGAACAACTATGTCAACAAATTTCATAAATTAAGAAGAAATGGATAAATTCCTAGACACATACACATTTCTAAGACTGAATTATGAAAAATAATATAAACAGGAAACCTAAATGGATCAGTAGCAAGCAATGAGATTCAATCAGTAAAAAACTTCCCATCAAAGAAAAGCCCAAGATCACATGGCTTCACTGCTGAATAAGTTACTCCAAAATATAGAAGAGAAAGGAATTCTTCTAAGAACATTAAATGAGGTTTAATGCTGATACCAAAACTGGATGAGGGGCCACACAAAAAATCTAAGGGCCAATATCCTTGATGGACACAGATGCAAAAATTTTCAGCATAATACTAGCAAACCATTACAAGCAACATTAAAAAGATTAGTTACTATGACCAAATGGGATTTATTAGGGATGCAAGAATGGTTCAATGTATGCAAATTGATAAATGTGATATATCATAACAAAATGAAGGACAAAAACCACATGGTCATCACACTTGATAGAGAAAAGACATTCAACAAAATTCCATATCTCTTCATAATAAAAATGCTGAAAAAATGAGAAAGATAAGGAATATCACCATACCATTTATAATAGGTCAACAGCTAACATCCTTAATGTGATAGAAACTGAAAATTTTCTCCCTAAAATCTGGAACAAGGTAAGAATGCTCACTTTCACCACTTTTATTCAATACAGTGCTGGAAGTCCTAGTAATCTGATTAGGCCATGAGAAAGAAAAAAAAAAAAAAAAAAGGGCATCCAATTTGAAAATGAAGTCATTCAAATTGTAACTGCAGATGACATACTTATATAAAAACTCCCCAAAACTGCACACAACACAAAAAAACCCTCTAGATTTTTTTAAACGAATTCAGCAAAAATGTAGGGCAGAAAAATCAACATACAAAAAAGCAGTAACATTGTTATATGCTCATATCGAATTATCTAAACAGAAATCAAGTAAGCAATGCCATTTACAATAGTTACCAAGAGGTAAATAAAACAACTAAAGAGTTGAAAGACCTGCACAATGAAAATTATAAAATACTAATGAATGAAATTTAAGAAGTAGAAAGACATCCTTTGTTCACAGAAGAATTAATAATTTTAACAAATGTCCAGTACCTAAAGTGATTAACAGACAATGTATTATGTATCAAATAACAATGGCACTCATCACAGAACTAGAACAAACAACTCTAAAATTTATATGGAACCACAAATTTCCTCAAATCGTCAAAGACATCCTGAGTAAAAAGAACAAAACAGGAAACGTTACACTACCTGATTTCAAAACTTACTACAAATCTATAATAATCAAAATGTTATGGTATTGGCATAAAAATAGACTAATGGAACAAAATGTACCCTAGAAGTAAACCCATGAACATACAGCCAAAKGATTTTTAAGCAAAAGTGCTAAGAACATGTACTGGAGAAAGGACAGGCTTTTCAATAAATGATATTAGGAAAATTGGGTAAAAAAAAAATGAAGCTAGACATCTATCATTGGTTAAAAAGATCAAGTCAAAATAGATTGAATAATTTTGTCTTACATTTAATTCTTTAAACTACAAGAAAAGAGGAAATGCTTCAGGACATTGGATCATGAAGACCTCCCAAAGAACAGAAAATAAAAGTTAAAAGAGGCAAATGGGATTACATAAAACTAAAAGGCTTCTGCATAGCACYCAAGAGTCCTACAAAGTGGGAGACAATATTTGCACTGTATACATCTCCCAGACTATATAAGTAAATCCAAAACCTCAATAGCAAGAAACCAAATAGCTCACTTTAAAAATGGGCAATAATCTAAAAACATTTCTCAAAGGAGGACCTACAATCTGCCAATGGGTACATTAAAAAAAAAAAGTTCAACATTACCAATCATCATATAATTCAAACCAAAACAACACTGAAATATCAACTCACCCTAATATGAAGACTTAGTATCAAATACTAATTAGTGATGGAGAGGATGTGGAGAAAGATGCCTTGCATAATGTTGGTGCGAATGTAAATTAGTATATCCACTATGGAAAACAGTATGAAGTGTCCTCAAAAACAGTAAGCAGAACAACTACCACATGATACAACAATCTCATTGCTGGGTATAAACCCAAAGAGAATAAAATTTGTATGCAGAAGAGACAAATGCACACTTATGTTCATTGCAGCACTATTCACAACAGACAAGAAATGGAAAACAAGTGTCTATCAGTGAAAGAATGGACAAAGAAACACAATATTTCAATGTGTACACAATGGAATACTATTCAGGCAAAACAATGACATCCTGTCATTTAGGACAATATGGATGGAACTGGAAATCAACATGTTAAATAAAAGTACGGAGACATCAAATGAAATCTAAAAAAGGTGATCTCATAGAAGTTGAGAGTAGAATGCAGTTATCAGAGGTTAATCAATTGGGTATTTAGATACAGTTAGATAGGAGCAAGATGCTCTGGGGTAAGACTGCATAGTATTTTGATTATAGATAACAATGTTTTGTGTATTTCATATGGTTAGAAAGGATTTTGGAAGTTTTTACTGCAAAGATAATAAATGAGGAGATAAGAATGTTTAATCCGATTTATGCATTTACATCATGCAATGTATTCAAGCATCAAATATTACATGGCACCATTAATATGTGACTTTTATGTTTTTTTATAAGTTTAAATAATACAAAGTCTGGGAACTTCAGTTAGTAATAGTGTGTCAATACTGGCTAATAAACAATTATAACAAACACATTTCACTACTGCAAGATGATTTCAATAATAAGGGAAACTGCCTGCTTGAGAGGCAGGGAATATATGGAAACTCTGCATCCACTCAATTGCTCTGTAAGGCTGAAAAAATATATTCTATCAATTTAAAAAAGGAAACATTTTAAATATGAGTCTGGAACAACTGAACAGCCACAGGAGGAAGAAAATAGATTTCAAGACCTATTTCACACTACATACAAAGAAAAGCATAAGAAACTGATCACAGAGCTAACTATCAAAGCTAAAATTACAAAGCTTCCAGAAGTTTTTAAAATATCTTCACAAATTAGAAATGGGTAGGTTTCTTTGATAAGATCCAGAAGCAATAACCACAAAAGTATAAAATGGACCTCATCAAAATTAAGTGCTTCTGTTCATCAAATGGTACCATTAAAATGAATAAATAGGCACATCAACAAAGAACAAAGGTCTGAAAAAAATTCTTTCAATACTAAAAAGAGCTACAACTCAATAAAAACAGAAAAATCCAATTAAAAATAGGCAAAGGCATTTTCTCTTCTCGCAGTTCCCTTCTCTGGTCTTCCATACTAGGCTCTGCTATCCCAAAATAGCAGTGTCCAAAGCACCCACCAGAATCCCAAAACAAAGAGGGGAGGAACAGAGTTACAACAGGAGAGTTGCTCTATGTGTATAACTGAGGAATAGGAGGTTTACTATTCCTTGTGATTCTCTATTCTTCCCCAACATCTCATCCCTGCAAAAACCTCCAGTACAATGCTGAATAGAAATGGTAAAAGTGAAGGGCTCTTCAAGATGGCCCATCAGAGGCACCTAGCACTCACCTGCTCTTCCAAAAAGGAACCAAAGCAACAGGTGTATAGCTACATACTGAGGTGACTAATTGTGACAGCAGTGGAAATGAATAGAGGAAAAACATACATGGTAAGATCCAGAGACCAAGAACAACAGCACAGTAAGAGAAAAAAGATATCTTGTGAATTCTGTCATAATGAAATCTGATCTGTATTTTTATTAACAGTACTGATGGTTAGTTAACAATTCTTATCTACTAGATATATACATATACGAATATAAATATACATAAACCAACACATATACACAAACAGATCTGATGGTGGAAGAGCAAGTAAAAGGGATAAAAGATACATTTCAATAGATTTTACATCCATTTCTCCATTTCTACCTTCTAGAAAATTGGAAGATCTTCTACACAAAGCCTTCACTTTCTTGGCATGGACTGGCTGTCCTGTCCTGTTATTCATTCATTTTCATTACTTGCCTGACCCCACAGCCATATGAATGTCTGTTTCTTATGAAAGTATACTGCTTGAATCCTTTATAAAAACAAGATATAGGGGTAGAATTGAGGAATTTCAAGTACTGCTTTTTCCCTCCTCAAGATTATCATAAGGACTTTGCAAAAAAAAAAAAAAATATATATATATATATCAACTGGATAGGTCACATATTTTGCACCCATGTGTTTCAAAAGGATGGAGTCTACAAACTTACCTCGATTGAAATGATAGAAAGTATTTTACTTTTAAAATACTTTTTATTTATTCGAATTATTTAAATCTCTTTAAAGTTTCCCAAAGTATAAAATTATTTCAAGAAAGCTAAGAAAAAATGATATACATACCATAAGCTTTTGCCCAGGTTCAGGGCTGAAAATAACAAAATCAGCTTCAATGTTAAGATGAATGTGTCCTTGATCATCATATATATCTCCCAGTTCACCCACAACTTTGATGTTATCATATGCAATAGGGACACCTAAAAGACTGTTTAAAAGAGAGAAGAAGATGATGCCTTTTATCCTGTTTTTAAACTAGGTCATTATGATACTGATTAGATAGTCTAAGACCGAAAAGTATTCATCTCCCAAATATATAACCTATGTCAAAACTGTAACAGTATATGCTTAGTCTGTAACAACTTTTTAGCAGTTCCACTTCACCAAAAGGTTCCAATGTGCTGGCAAAGGTTCCAATGTGCTGGCTAAGTTAAAATGGAAATTGACAAGAAAAATGTGTATGCATTTTTTATTACTGAGTACAGGTAATACTGATATTGATACTCTCCATCTGCACTTGATGCAATACAAGGAAACCTAAGGGTTAAAGCTGAAGCCCCTGAATACTACAACCAGTAACTTAATACAAAAAAAAAAAAAAAAAAAATCTCAAACTGCAACTGTTGCTAGTAAAAGGAAATTTTAAGACATATAACTACATCATTTATTAAGAATTGACTTTTGACACTCTGTGCACATTTTAGAATCCGGATTAGTTGGCAACTATTATTTCAAAATATCATTTCTAACCTATGAAGGATAAAAACCTGGCAGCTTTTACTACCATACCCACTACTTGGAGGAAACTTCCCTAACTTTCCAAGGCAAACCTGAAATCACTCTTCTATTCCATGTACAAATTTATCACTGTTCTACTTTTATTGAATCTACCTGTACATGTTTGGATTTCACACACACAAGCGGTAGACAGCAGAAAGTTTTTTTTGTTGTTGTTTTGTTTTTTTTGTGGGAGACAAATTCCAGCATGATTTACATAGAATAAGAGAAAAGAATTTATCCCTAATAGATTTTATTTTAGTAAAATAGCCACAACTCCCAAGAAAGGAACTATAGTAACTACCAAATTAGCAAAATCAAACTTAGAAATTTCCTCAGGAATGCTCTTTTTAGTTATTACTTTATGCATGTAGCTTTCCTCAAAAGGAACCAACTATTATCAACTCAGACTACCTTACAGTCACTGAAAATAGCAGGAAGGAAAGAAAAATTGCCAAAACTGACAGGAAAAAATAATTTAGAACCTTATTTCCTTTAATCAAAGCCTCCTCTCTCTACTATAGAATGATGTTCAAGTGGAGACAGTACTGCTGTTCTCTAAAAGGAACTTGGGAATTTCTGGTACTATTCATGTTTGTTACAAACACTACAAAAAAAAAAAAAAAGACAGGGAGAAAGTCTGTTATGCACATGACAGCCCTATACAATGATGAAATATCCTTAGCTCTGCATTACTTTTGAGTAAAGAGATGAACTTGTTTATAAATAGATGGGCACATAATCTAACTTTAAAAATAAATGTATCAACATCTTTGCATGGTTTCAATATATGTTAAATTTCTAGAAATGGAGTAATAAACAAATGGTATTTCCCTCATTCCCAATCAGGTAAAGAAGAGAATCGCGGGAAAGCACCAGATCCAAAACAAACAAAAACTGATCATCGTGTTTTACAGAGAAACTGTTGTTTGTACAAATGCTTATGTGATCTTACAAGTTAAGAGAGAGAATCTACTCAAGTACTAATACGAACTGTTCATTGTCAAATGAGAAAACATTACCCCCGGAGGTGGGAAATGAAACGTTCAACGTCAAAGAAAACTCCGTATACTGGGTCTCCAGACACCTGGTTATTCTCATCTCCACTCCCTCGGTAGACAGTTCACCTGTAAGTTTTCTTTACTGTTCATGGAAGGACCTGGCAGAGATCCCGACCCGGTAGGTAGAGGCCTCGCTGAGCGGACCACAACTCTAGAACACCTCCGGACTACGCTCCGGTTGGGGTGGCCTGTGCGACCTTTCCCACTCCTCCACCTTTCTGTAGCATGCCCTCCCCACGCCCAAAAGAAGGGGCTGCCATCTACGTTACGGCGTTGCTGGCTGGGAGAAGGACAAGACACACAGACCCGTACCTCTCGGAATAGCGCAGGAGCTCGGCATCCAGCTGCTCTCGGATACCGGTGCGTTTCCGGTTAAGGTAGCGGGGCGACAGGGCGATGTGCCGCCGGTGCGGCGCGGCCACCAGACAGGAGTAGCGGCTGTTCACCAGAGCACAAGCAGCAGCATAGGTGGGCAGCTCTAGGCAAGGCAGGACGCCGCCTGTTCCTACCACGGGCGCCTCGGAGGCCGCCTTCGGCCGCGGAGACTCTGAGCAACCAGCAGCCATGCGTCAGGTTAGGTCTCTCCCGGCGCGTACCACTGACGCTAGCACAACCGCCTTTCCTCCGACTCCGGGTTTCTGCGTCATCCACCAGCTACCACGCCCCTACAACTTGTATCCCGTTCCCTGCACTATGCAGGTCTGACCAGCAGGGGGAAACCTTTTATGTTTTTCCCAAATCCTCTCACTTGGAGGAGGAAGCCTGGAGACTGTGGTTGTCTGTAGAGAGCATGCGTCAAGTTTTCTCTTTTTCCCTAAGGCAGGCAAATGTGTTTCCACAAACTCCTCAATGGATTTAGTATATAGATTAATGGGACTGCCCACTTTGATCGTTTTCAGTAATAACATGTTTGGGTAGGATGTTTCAAGCTTAAACTATTCAATAATATATCAAAAAATATAATGGAGTAGATTTTATGCAGTGAACCCAGTCTTACACAGCAGCTCTCAGGCCTCAAACGCAGTATCTGAACAAGAACTCACATTCTGTCTCCAATCCAACTTTACCTCTCATTCAGCAAATCACTTAATAAGAAAATCTCCCACTTTTCCAAGTATCCAAGCCCAGCTGTGATCTTGGGGTCTCTCTTGTGTGCCCACACATCAAATCAATCCAAAGTAAAAACCACAGCTGTATTTTTACAGCTCTGTGTTCACGCTGTCAAAACTACAAAACTCCTTTCCTGCCTATGGAAGGTCAACTTGATGATCAAAAGCATACCAGAAACAACCTAGTCTGTGAAACAACTATGGTGATGATGTGCCGTTTTTAAAGCCCTAGGTAGGCTCCTGGTTTTCCCTAGGCTAATGCAGACTTCCTTAATAGAGCTAATGAATTACTAGGCCATTTTATTATTTTTCCCTAGCTGCTTTCCTCACCATCATTCATTGCTCTCCCTATGTTAACAATATCTGCTTGCCCTCCCTGCTTATTGAGCCACTTTCAACTCTCTCCCTCTCCCCACTCCCTCCCTCCTTCCATTCTTCAGCCATTTCTTCCACCAAGTAGTTTCTCTCACATGGGTAAATTCTRTTTCTGTCAATTTTTAGTTTAGATTTTATATTCTCTTCCTCCGCAAATAGTTCTCTACCTCCTTATCTCCCTCTTTTCTCCTTAAGGATTAAGTAGTTCCCCATCTGTTTGTCACCACCACCACCACCACCATGGGCTTGTTTTTATGTTGAATTTGTTATAACTGGCTACTTGCCTGATGCATCACTAGATTCCTGTTTCACTGGGGGAAACACCATGAGGTTAGTCTTGTTCTCCAGAGAAGCCCCCCCCCCCCAAAACCAACCCTTCCTTYCCCAAAAAATAACCAATGCATCCTAAATGAATAATGTATGAATGAATTAATAAATTATATAACTACTGATAAAGGGTTCAGAGCCCAAATGAAAATGGGATTGTTGGGGCAGGTCCCAAATGGCTGTAGTTAGGCTCCCTCAAAGAAACTTCTGATGGGCTATGTTGTTGTTAGTGTGTAGCCAGGGCTGAAAATCAAMTRTGTTATGGTTAGTCAAGGCCAGAAACAGTGTGATTCAGTGCATATACTCAAGGTCATAAACATTAATTTGTGAGCATACRCCCCCTTATGTAACCTGTTGGCAGTGTGTCTTATTTGTTTGGCCTGCATATAAAAAGGGTCTATGAAAAAGACTCAGGTGCTGATGGGGGCAAAACGAGAGCTAAAATGGAACTGGCTGGGGGCTAAGCTGAAGCTGGAGGCTGGAGCTGTTACCACCTCTGAATAAAGCATGTCTACAATCCTGAGTCTTGCATCTTCTTCCACTTCCTGACTGCAAATCTGTTTCCTGGGTCAGAACCCCTGCATGATAGGGATTTAAACAAACATTTAACATAGGTTATAGTGTATAAGTTCCAAGAGAAAAGCATAGCAAGAAGTGGTTTGAATGCATCCCCCAATACTGCAAAGTCCTTAAAACCCTGTTGTTTCATTTGCTGAATAGGGATAATAATGTGTATCCTGCCTACCTTTGAGAATTGATAGTAGGTTCAAATAAGAGAAATACAAAAAATGATTTTCTTTTATTCTTCTTTAACTTAGTACAAATTCAACATGGAATGAAATTTCTCTCAACATTGAGCAACCTTTACCTTCTATTAAAAAGTTCTGTAACACCTTTGTACAGGACCCTTTTGTTCAGTGTTCTCAACTTTGGCTGAACRTTGAAATCACCAAAGGTTTAAAAACTCCCGATTCTGAAGAGGCATCTGTGAGGATGGCCTTAGGCCTCAGTCTAAGCAACTCCAGTTTTAAAAACTCCAGTTTGAAACCTGCAATCTCACCAAGCATGCCTAACAGAGCCCTCCAGTATGACTCTCAGGCACAAACTAGTCACTTCTCCCCACTTGGATAAACTCTGTGAAGCTTCTAATAGGCTGTCCTCACCCAATAAGAGGAAAAGATGAAAAGATCAGGGCGGGGATCAGACCTGATGTTTTAACCCCAGGGTAAATGACATAACTGAGAAATCCTGGCAACTGATAAGGATTGGAAGGGGAGTCAAAAGCCCCCAACCTCCAAATTTAGTATAAATAATAGAGCAAATGAACATACATTCAGCCAGCCGTTACTGATGCCCTCACGCTGAGAGCCTGATGAGGACCTGGACTGACATCTCAATACTGTCATGCCAGATTCSTGGGACCCCAATAGGAGCCACGAATGAGTTTCCTCTCCAGGAGCCGAATCTGATGCAATCACACAAGAGTCTTTATTGCAAGCTTGAGCCTGGACTCACAAGCGTTTCAGATGCAGCTGTCCCAGGGAGTGAGTCCTGGTCCTTTGTTCAGTGAGATTTTATAGTTTTGGGAGGGATACTCTATGTGTCACAACATCACACAGCAAATCATTCCATACCTCTGCTGGAAAGTCAAACAACAACTCTTAACGTTGATTAGCAAATTCACTGGTGGGAACAAGTTGGGTAGGGGTGATTGGTTAGTACAAGAGGGGGATTCCTTTGAACTGATAGGTTTAGGCTATGAGGGGTGTAGTGCTAAACTACATGGTTTCCCAACATGTTATCAACCAACTTAAATTACTGGGGGGTCATCTGGCATCCCAGGTATTTCCTATCTCATGCTGATTGGTGGTTGCTAGGGGGTCCCTATGGGTCCTCACCTAGCCTAACCGAGTCAGGGACACCTGGTGTCACAGATCTCTCTTGTTATTTGCAAACRAACAACTCAGCAGGGTGGGTGTGTGCCTAGGAATGCTCTGTGGGTTTTTCCAAGGACAAGGGTCACACCCCTTTCCTTGGACAGGCTTTGCTTTGAGGTAGAGGCTGGTTTCTCAAAAATGGAGTCACATCAGTTTCTCAATACTTTGCATCGTTTGCTGATCCTCTGCATCTTCCTCATCGTTCTCAAACTCTACAGCCACATCTTAACCCTAGTGAGAGCCATAACTTCTCCCTAAAACCCTCTCCTCCACTAGCTGTCAGCTCCAACCCAGGAGAAGCCTGCCTTAGTTCCTGACCTCATCACTGCAGTCTGAGTGAGTGTGCATCTACTGGACTTAAAGCCTAAGGCTTGAAACTTTTGAACTGACACTTGAACTTAGCATGCAGAGGGAATGTCTGTCATTAGCCTGTCATGATTAAGTGTGTTTGCAGTGCTTAGAATTAATCTAGAATTGTTTGCTGTGAATTATGTCTATTGCAGGCCTAGCATTAAGGATTGACGTTTTCTTGATTAAGAACCTATAGAGTGAAATTGTATTATTGAGTGATTTGAATGAATAAAGCATTGAAAAGGGCAGAAGCGCTTACACATTCTTTATTTCTCCCCCTGGACTGTATAAGTCGCACCTTTGGCCCATTACAACAGCATCCTAGGTCATTTAAATAAAACTTCTCCAAGTAATTGATTATATTTTGCCATCAACATACATCTGGATTGTCTGCAGTTATTTTTAAACTAAAAACGATTTGTCCAAAAAGTGAAAATTTTTTTAGTAAAAAAGAATCTGAACAATTCAACCAAATATCTACACACTTTACCTGAAATCAAGTATTCTAGCTATGATTTTGAACAATATTAAATGTGGTGCATCATGGAACAGTTTTGAAACCCTTTATGTATCCATAATTATTTCTTTAACTCTGAAAATTATTAGAATGGAATTTTATGAAGAAATGGAATTGGACAGGATTTCCTTAAGTTATGTGTAACACTTTACATAAAAGAGTTTTGTATAAAGGGTATCCCAAAGATACAATTGACTTTTGCTTCATAATAAACTGTTTCTCAATTTAGTGGCTTTATACAACAGTCACAACTATTAATTTATCTCATAGATGTGGGCTGGGTTCAGTTGGGCTCACTAATGGCATCTGTGGGCAGATATGACTTCATGTGACCACCAGACTAGAATGAGCTTGCTTTCCTGTAACGCTGTGAAGGTTTACAAGGATGGGGCATGACTTCAGGTATGCATTAGAAGTCCTACATCAGGTATGCATTACAAGTCCCTAAATACATCTGCCCATAAAGAGCCAAACCAGTCGAGAGAGGAAGGTTGTCATCACTGCTTTAGGCTGATTTTATCAAGTTTGTTGAATGAGTAATAATCATTTTGTTTACTAGCATTCCCTTCCTGCAACAAAATACCTGAGATAATCAATGTAGAAGGAGGAAAGATTTATTTGGCTTAACAGTTTTAGGGTTTTTAGTCCGTGGTCAGCTCCCTTGGTTAGGTCCTGTGGTTAGGCAGAACATSGCAGTGGGGAGCCTGTGGTGAAAAAGAGCTGCTCACCTCAGGGCAGCTGGGAAATAGAGAAAGAAAGGGGCAGGGGCCAACATCTGCTTCAAGAGAAGACCTCCAATGACCTAATTTCCCTAAATGACCTAATTTCCCTCCTCACAGTTACCAGTGAGGAGTCCTGCTCCCTCACATGTTGAAGTATAACATTAGAGAAGCACGCTGAGGCAAGAACATAAAGTAGGGTTTATTTAAAAAGGGGTAACATAGACTTTTCCTGGGAGGGAGAAGGGGGCCTTGGCT